GAGGGCATCAGATCCCCTGGAACTGGAGTTATGGACGGTTGTTAGCTGGAGTTATGGACAGTTATGGGTGCTGGTAATTGAACCCAGGTCCTCTGCAAGAGCATCCAGTGTTCTTAACTGCTGAGCCATCTCTCTAGCCCAACCTAGCAGTTTCTTATTTAGTAATGTACTCTTCAGTTATTTTGCCAAAAATATGATAATATATATTTACAGAATACTATAAACCATTAGAAATCAGCAAAGTGGGAGAGAAACTGGATAAATTATCATCCATTACACTTTTATTGTAGTAAGCTATAAAAAAAAGGGAGATGTTTGAATTGATGATTTTCAAAGTATGTATGTTTTAAAATTTTTTTAAAACCAAAATCTGGGAGCTGGAGAGATGGCTCAGTCCTTAATAGCATTGACTGATCTTGCAGAGGACCTGAGTTTGGTTACCACGACCCACATGGCAGCTAACAACCATCTGTAATTTTAGTTTCAGGGATCCAGTGCCCTCTTCTGGCTTCCTTGGGCATTGCATGCACATGTTGCACTTACATACGTGCGGGCAAAACACAGAAAATTCTTTTAAAAAAGGAAATAATGAAAGAAAATATATAATAAGGTATTTTATATACTTTTAAGAAGGAGGTGAATAAGAAAATGTATGTTTTTGAGCACTTTGAAGCAAATAAATGCAGGACGAGTCGTTAAGAAGCTAATGAGTGGATATCTAGGAATGAGTGAGTAGAGACCAAAGAGTGGGTAGGGTAGCCACCTTTTCCTGTAGTCTTTGGCTTTGAGGAATCATGTTAATCTTTTTACAGTCTAAAGGAATAATTTAAAAATCATGACGGGTAAGAGATTTTTTTTAAACCAAACTCTAAAATAGGAAATAAGTAACAAATGAGCCTGTCTAGGGGGAGGGGAGGTAGACAAGTAACCTTAGTCACTTTTTACATAATACTTTGACTCTCTTTCCTCAGACTAAAGATGAAAAGGGCTGAAAAGAGTTCTAGTTAGTAGACTTATGTTTTACAGGGGTGTGACCTAGCAATATGTATGTGTACATAGTTGCCTACCTAGATGTGTGTGCATTTGGGGGCTGTGCCCATTCTCTTACATGTTTCTTAGCTCTGAATAATGAGAAGGCAGATGTTATCCATTGGAGTGGATGAATATGATCAAAGTATGTTATAAACATGCATGTAAATGTCAACAAGAAGAGATAGTCCCACTGAAAAGACTGAATTCTCAGACTGAATTCTGGGTCAGGAAAAGAACTCTAAAGGAAATTATTGGAACATTTAGTGAAATCTGAATATGAATGGTGGGTTACATAATATGTCAGAGTGACTATAACTTTGATAATTACTCTATAGTTATATAAGAAAATATCTTTATTTTCAGAAAATATACTTAGGTTTTTGGAGATGAAAAGAAGACATGATAGCAGAATTTAACCTTGAAATAGTTTGAAAAACTTAAGTTTAATAATAATATGCCCATCTCCCAACACTGAAATTATGTGTGATAAATGAGCAAAGCAAATGGGACAAAAATATTTAAAAGTTGCTGAGTCAAGGTAGAGAGCATATGGAAAGTCTTATGTTCTTGCAGTTTTTTTAAAGTTTAAAATGGTTGCCCATGCCTTTAATCCCAGCCCTTGGGAAACAGGCAAATGGATCGAGGCCAGCCTGGTCTACATAGTGACTTCCAGGTGGTCTGGGACTGTGGTGACCCTGTTTTTTTTTAAAAAAGAAAGTTTAAAATGGTATCAAAATTAGAAGTTATAAAAATATTTGATTATAATGTAAAATTTTAATTATTTAGATTTTGCTGTAAATAACATGAGAAGATTTTAATATTTGAATTTTATCTGTTGATAATGCTGTTTTATTTTCCTAATTTAAAATTTTGATGTAGGTTATGACTTGGGTCCTCTACATGTTTTAGCAGCAGCATAAACTGCTAAAAGCTTTATGTTTGAGCATTTTAAGATCAGAGTCAAAGCCTATCTCAGCTACCAAATGCAGCTTCTGGTACTGTTTGTTTTCACCACGTTTTGTTGTATTTTTCACCTCCTTATAGAGAAAGCCTGTTGTGTTGGAAGGACTTGACCTGGGGGCATGTACAAACAAATGGACAGTGGATTACCTGAGCCAAGTTGGAGGGACGAAAGAAGTAAAGATTCATGTTGCTGCAGTTGCACAGATGGACTTCATTAGTAAGAACTTTGTGTATAGGTATTTTCTTCTGAGGTTACTTTGGGGATATAAACAACTTTTAAAATATTTTACGTTATTCTATAAAGACCATATGGCATTTCATCTTCAGCTTATATAATCATGGGATAACTTACTGCTTTTTAATGAGTGGCTTTAAAAGACAAGGATTCTGAGTTTACATAATTGTACCGAGACATTTCCACAGACTATTTTTTAAATATAGTGTGCATCCTATGTCCTGTGGAGTCACGAACAGATCATTTCTACCCACAGAGTTAGATTGCATCTAAACTTGAATGTGCTGTACTCAATTCAGTCTTGATTAATCCAGTTATGCTACCACATTAGTAAATTATCTAGCGTAGGAAATTGTCTTAAAGGCTTGTGGGTTTTTTGTTTTGTTTTGGTTTTTTTTTTTTTTTTTTTTTTTTGCCTCTCCAGAGGTTTTGGAATGACCTGTATTTGGTATAATCTTTCGTCTGTTTGAATAACATTTTTAAAATCATACTAATTTTCTCTTTTGATGAAATAACTTGAATACTTGAACTTCTCATGGTTGTCATTTTATGCTGTGGATTCTCTTACAAGTAAGTAAACTGCGAAATGTCTAAGCTTGAAAGCTTTAAATGTCATCTTGCAGATTTCCTGTGCTATTTATTCCTATGAGATTCATTAAAAATGTTAAATTAAAAAACAAGCACCGTTCACATTCTGAGCACATGCAGTTCCCAGCAGATTAAATCTGTTGAAAGGCCATGTTGCTCACAAAGATTCCAGTTTATGATGAGTTAAGCTGAGCTTCTGGTGTCCAGGGTCACTTCTTTCTCGTTAGCGTTTCCCAAGCTTGTAGAGTGGCCATAAAGCATTTCTCAGTGTTTGATCCTTTGAGTATTCACCATTATAGTTTTGGTTTTTTTTCATAAGCCATTAATTGAATTTAATTGCCATCAGTTTTTCCAAATGTAAGAATTTGCACTTTTTATTAAACCAAGAACGTAGAAGAAAGTGCTGGAATCCTGGGTGTTTTTCAGCCTGCAGTTAATATTACTTATTTTCCACAGTCTAATGCCATAATAAATGGGTATTGAAATTGCATCTTGAATTGCCTTGATGTTTTGTCATGTCTTTTAAACTTTTCAAAACTTGTTTTTCAAATACATACATTATGTAATGGTTTCTATTCCAGCTTCTTCAAAGCCTTTTGTTGGTGCTACTAAAAAATTGCTGAATTGTTTTCTTTCAAGAAAAAAAAAAAGTTTAGTTTTTTTTTAGAATTTGCCAGACAGTAGGAAAGCAGGAAGGACAATACCTAAGCCAGAGATAAGGAAAAGTAAGAAATTCTACAGACATATAACTTACACTGTTCTAATCACTTCATTTTGATGTTGCCTTTATCCTTCATCAGATGTTTAGAGACCACTGCATTAGCAAGAAGTAACTTCTAGATTTCTCCTCTTGTTCCCTTTTGCTAGCCTTCTTCAGTCAGGACACTCCCAATGAGAAGCTTGGGTGGTGACAGGAATCGGCCTCATCTGGCGCTTCCACCTATGGTATCACTAATTCTGTCACCACCTTCTCACTGTGAATTGAACTTGCCAAGGGCTACATAATGGAACAGGGTTGTTGTTAGTACCCTTGTTCCCCTTCTCTGAGCTACTTTATCAGCTCTTACAGGATCACTGTCTGCCCTGCTTTCACAAAGATTTTTAGAACTCTTGGTTCTCATTGTAAGAAAGCTAAGCCTGGATAATTGCACTAGTCACACAGGTAGCTCTGGGCCACATTAGCTCCCCCAGCTCTTCAGAGATGCGGTAGAAATGATGTGTACACACAATGAGGCAAGAGATGTCAAGCACTGAGTTGGAGGATGCCAAGTAAATTTGTTGATAAAACTGATTGGAAACTGTAGTGGGAGCACAGTGCCTTACACTGGTCTGAGCGGATAGCAGACTTCTTTTTCTCCTACAGTGCGCACTCTGCATAATTAATTCTCAGCAGTTCAGACTGACACTCATACTCACAGGCCCCATACTCCATAGTCTGACATCAGGGTTACTTGGTTTTCAGAAGAATACAAGGCTGGAAAGAGCATATTAGCAGACTATTACCAATGAATTATGTGACTCCAAGTCATGTTTTGGCTAAGCAACAACTTAGAGGTAACAGAACAAGATTATGGAGGTGTTACTGAAACACACCCCAGCTAAGGTAATTGGCATGCTCCCCCATAGCCAGTGGCTTGAAATGGGGCTGTAGATAGCTTGTAGGTTTTTTTAAGGGGCATATTCACTTATGAATTACATTGTATGCAAAAAAGGACATTCTTTTGCAGAAAACAGTGTTGCCTGGTATCACAGCTGACATTGAACCTTTGCCCTTAACCAGTATGTTTCTAAGAAACCAGCAGTACTAGGAGAAAGTAAGCTAGCCTGAGATCATCATCTCAAAGAGAAGGAGGGTTCACCAGCTCCTCCTCCAGCTCTTCTTTCTCATCTTCTCCTTACAGATACTTGGTAATAAGACAAAGATTTTTCTGTGGGGAGCAGAGGACAAACTTTTGAGGACTTCCTTGTCTTATTACTAAAATGGTAGCCTCTTATGTATTGGGAAATGCTTTTGTGACTTTTTTTTTTAATTTTTTAAAAAAATATTTTATTTTTATTTTTATTTTATGTGTATGCATGTATTGCCTGCATGTAGCTAAGTGCACCCGTGTGTGGAGGACAGAAGAAGCTGTCAGATCCCCTGGAACTGGAGTTTCAGACAGTTGTTAGTTGCCATGTGGGTGCTGGGATTCGAACCTGGGTCTTCTGCAAAAACAGCCACTGTTCTTAGCCCCCCCCCCCTTTTTTTTTTTTTTTCCTTACCAGCACCAAGGTTGGAACCCAGTGCCTGGTGGAAACTATGTAAGTCCTTCACACTGAGCTGCATCTCCACCCCAGGGAAGTGATTTTGATTTTAAAGTTAATAGAGTAAGAACTGGGGAAAAGACAGTGCTCTAAAGGAAACATTGTTTCTAAAATATCTAGCCATATTCCAGAAGCCATAAAATGTCAGCATGAAGTGGGGATGAGAGCAGCATTGCTGCCTTCTCAGAAGGCAGGAACATGGACCATGTGTCTTCTGTGACCATGCCTACTGCTGTATACTAGTGCTGTCTATAGAGGAGTCTCACACATACACAGTGTAAGCTAGTAGTTTGTCCCATTCATCACAACATTTGTTTCGCCATGGTCCTTGAAAATAGAAGGCATTCAGAGCCTGAAACTTTATGTGTTTTCAAAGGTAACCTAATACCATAGAGACATCTTTTTCTCAGTTACTTGATAATGGATATTGACCTTTGACGTTCTATTAGTACTATAAAATTTAAATCTTTAATTCCAGAATTTGAGATAACTTAGGTCAAATAAATATACTTCTAAACGAATTTTTAATTTTCCATCCATGTGATGGATCATAGTAAAAGCTGGATATTACAAAGCACATGCTACCCAGCTGTGCCAGACCTACATGCCCAGTGATGATCTCATTACTAGTTGCTCTGTTATCACATCTAAGCATTCTTTCTTATTTATTTCAGAACTTTACCTTTTGACAAGTTGGTCCAGAGGGCAGCTGAAGAAAAGCATAAAGAATTTTTTATTTCAGAGGTAATTCTTAAAGAAAGCATTATTGTCTATATTTTTCTTTCTCTAAATATATTTATCTATAAATGGAGATTAAAAACTGCTTATTTCAAAAGGTTTTTGAGAGGATTAATTAAATAAAATCCATAATGCACTTAGCAGTATGCCTAGCATAAAAACTACTCATTCAGTACTAGTCATTAATCCTACTTCCTTTGAAAATGTGTTAATGTCACATACCAAATGTAAATATTAATAGAAAACTGTATTTTCATATGTTACTATTAGACTTTACATATTTTATTGTTATTTAACAGTCAGTATCATTTTTTATCTGTATCTGGTATAACATTTGTTCAAGATTAAAGCAGAAAATTTCTTAACATTATTGTCTAGCTCTGAGAATCTCAGTTTCAGGCAGTAAAGCTTCCTCCTCAATACATTCAGTTAACTGTGTAAGGGTTGGGGAGACAGCTCAGTTTATAACTTCCTTGCTGCATAAGCATGAGAATCTGAGTTCAGTCCCCAGAACCCATGTAAAAATGCTGGGCATCCTGGTGTGTACCTATAATCCTAGTGCATATAATCCTAGTACCTATAATCCATAGCTGCATTGGTGACCCTGTCTCGGAAAACAAGGTGGATGGCCATTCTGAGAAAAAACACCAGAGACTGACCTCTGGCCTCTAAACATACATGCACGTGTAACTCCCCCTCCCTTTGCACACATATTCACACACAATACAACAACAAAATTTAGTGTTATCTCAAAAAATCTCAAAAATAAACTTTAAAGCTTTGAGTAAAGCTATTTGGTTTGAGCCAGGTGGACTGGGCAGTTTGGTTTAAAAGGTTGTGTTTTCACAGTTCTTTTATCAGTTAGTGGTTATACTAAATTAAGATCAAGATCTCTACAAACTCTGAAAGTCTTTGGTTCTGAATTATGATTAGAATGTCTTTTAAAACTGATCCCTATTAATTGTTCCTAAATACTACCTTTTAAACTCTGTGTTTTGAATGTATTATTTATTGTTCTTTGGAATTTTCCCATCAAAGGGTACTGAGTGGCATAGATTTAAATAACCGTGAAATGCATAGTAAAAAAAGAGAAACAAGGCAAAAGGTTAAGTCTAAAAATTGCGGAATATGTATGTAAACACATCAACATGAATTCTCTGTTCAGTCATATGAAAATCTGTGAGATGGAATCAGGTGCATTAGGGAGTAAAGCCTGTAGGAGGAAAGAGAAGGAGTGTAGGAGGAGCCGCCAGACACAACCACATACATCTGACAATTTACCAGCTTGCTGTGGGACCCTGAGCAAAGACTGTCCATCAGAGGGGGTCCTTCATGGGTGGTACCTGCTAGATCTCTTAACATCTTTGGTTGTTGCTTGGGTCTGCTCTATGAAGAATGTAACCTTGGTTCAAATGCTGAGGTGAAGATGTTGACAGCTGGAAGCCCCAAGTTAAACACACTTTTCAACTAAGCAGTGAAGGGGACTATGAGCAGTGCCTCAGTTGAATGACAGTTGGAATTTTGAGAAATATCCTTTGAAACCTATTTAGTGAGTCTGATAATGGCACTAAAAATATGAAAAACCTAAGTTGTTAAAGTCATGATTATAGATTTATATTCATTTTTAAGGTTGAATGAGATATATTTTGAAGCTTGTGTTTTAAGTCTCTGTTGGTTTTCTGAGAGGAAGAATGCTTGAGTTGGATTGTTCCTGTACCAAACCTAGTATGTCTCACTTCTCTATTACAGGAAATGCAGGCAACAGTGGATGTTTTTGTTGTTTATGGTGTTAGACAGAATCCAGGGTGCACAAATGCTAGACAGGTGCTACACCACTGAGTTACTAAGCCCCACAGTGAATGTTTTGTAATTCAGTCTTCTATTTAGCTACTCTGAGGAGTATAAATGTTAACTTTAAAAACTATTGATGTAATTTTAGTGTTATGAAATGATATATTTCTACATGAGCTGAGTCTTAAGGATTTGGTGTGAGGGTATATATTGTTAGAATAGGCATAGTCTCATGAGATGCAATGTTCCTGTTTTTTTATTTTTTTATTATTTTTGTGTGTATGAGTGTATTGCCTGCATGTATGTGAGTGCACCTGTGTCGTGCAATGCTGCGGAGGTCAGAAGAGGGCTTCGGATTCCCCTGGAACTGGAGTTAAGGATGGTTCATGGTCACCATGTGGGGGCTGGGAATTGAACCTGGGTCCTCTGCAAGAGCAGTCAGTGCTCTTAACCGCTGTGCCATCTCTCCAGCTCCCTGTTTTTTTTAATTTGCAAAAAATGATAAGGTATTTTATTTCATATTACAGTTGTATCGTTTATTGTTGGTCCTCTTTATTTATTGTGTTAAGACCCTGTTAAGAAGGGTCTAAATAATTTGGAATATAAATTAATCATTGTGGCTTTAGGTATGGTTACGTGTGTGCTGTCTTTAGAATTTCTTCTATTTAATGATTTGATCCAGTCATTGAGCAACACATAAAGATATTTCTTTATGTGGCCACCAGGGAGCATTAGTAGCAAGGGTAAGATAATTGGACTTTTCAGATGACTTAACTGGGTTGTATTTTATTTTCTTGCTTTCTTATTTCCTAATATTTTGTAATGAGTGCTGATGGTATTTTCTTTGGAATGTTTAAGGATGAGAAATACTACTTGAGATCACTTGGAGAAGACCCAAGAAAGGTAAGAATTGTGGATTGAAAGCAATTACTTAAAACCTCAATGGGCATATACATGTTCATTGACATTGTAAATTTTATATTATTGATACACAACCTGTTTCATTCTTTTCTGTTTTTCTCTATGATTTGTGCCCTTGAATTAGAAATTATTAATGGTCGATTACTTAGAGTTTATAGTCATCTAATTTCTATACAATAAGAGATCCTTATTGCTGTGTATTTTACAGATGGAAGTTCATCTCATAAAATACTACTCTAAAATTACTAAAATCCTGAATGATTCATTATATAAGCTTTTACCTGTATTCAGAGCCAAATTAATATGACTAAAATAAATAATGATTGTATACATCTTAAAAGTAGGAACCTCTCAGTGCAATTCCTTGGACTTGTCAGTAGTGATGTTTTAGTCTGTTATTGCTTCACTTGAAAGATCAGTATTGACACATGATCTCATCTTTCATTTTAAAGCACTGAACAAAGTTTTAAAGTTTTAATCTTTTCTTCTTAATGTCATGTAATGAGTTGGCAATCTTAGATGAAGTAAGTGGCTATTGTGTTTATTATTAAACTTCTTTCCAGATGCTACGGTTTAACTGTTTTTATGTGTCAATGCAGGATGTTGCAGATATCAGAAAACAGTTTCCATTATTAGAAGAAGATATTAAATTTCCAAAATTCTTTAAAGAGGAGCAGTTCTTTTCCAGTGTTTTTCGAATTAGTTCACCTGGATTACGACTTTGGACTCACTATGATGTATGTTACATAAATGAGAAATCTAAAGGTTCAGAAATCTGTAGGATCACAGATCTAGCATTTGTAGTTTGGCATTTCTAGGTTAACCTAATGATCTATGCACAGTAATTTGCTGAAATAATGTTTTGAAAATAGGCACTCTGTAAGGTGTAAGAGGGCAGTGCATTATGTAGCTAACAGCAAAGCCTAGTTTTTCACACTTGTTTCTCTATGGTCTTGTTCTTGATTTGGCATGATAAACATATAGAAAGTTATATATATGAAGTGGGTATTTTAATGTTTTTGGCCAATGAAAAGTGATTACCAGATTAGGGGGAAATGCTGAAGCAAAAAGTAGTGTGCTTGAGGTAGGAAAATGTGTGACACATAACTGGCCCTCTAGATTCATGCTATGTAGCAGAAAAGCAGAGCTTATGGAGAGTGATTTCTAAGAATAAGAATTTGGGGGCATCTGAAGGTCTTAGGATTTATATCCCTTGAGAACATTAGCTGTCTACTGGATTTGAGGATTAGCAAGATTATTAGACTCGGATGTTGATTATTCTGTGTTGTTACTAATTCTGTTTGCTGAAACATACATATATACATATATACACATATTTAAAATAATAGTGTGTGGGCTGGATAGATGGCACATGCCTTTAATCTCAAAACTTGGGAGGCAGAGGCAGGCAGATCTCGGTGAGTTCAAGTCTACATAGTTTGTTCTAGGGCAACCAGGACTACATAATGAGACTGTTACACACACATACACACACACACACACACACACACACACACACAGTGTTTAAAATCATGGTATTGTGTAGGCTGTTTTTGTTACAGGTGGAGAAGAAGCCAAGGTAATATTTAGTAAATATCCAAAGATTTTGTGTGTGTGTCTGTTTTGAAACAGTGCCACTTTGAAGTCCAGGCTGGCCTTGAACTTAGGTCTTCCTTTCTCTGCCTCCCAGCTGAAAGGATTATAAGCATGTGGCAGCACACTTAGCTGAAACATTTTTTTAAAGTTCTAAATCAAACTGTTATGTTTTATATATGTATTTTATAGACCATTTAAAAACTTCCAGAGGATTTCACCACAGTAATTCTATAATTAGATGAGACAGACATGAAATCTTAGCATATTTTTTTAAGGTTTTATGTGAATGATTGGTGAGAAAATAATGTGATGATTCATACACTTTTAACTATATTGACTTGAGTTACAGCAGACTATATAAAGCTTTTCTTAAAAATAAGTCAGGAACACTAGTTACAGTCCATAGTCAAAGTTCACATCAGAAAGGGTTAGTGCTGTAAGAAATGCTTCAGTGATGATGGATGGCTGAGTAGTCAGGGACACATCTTGCTCAGTGTGTATCTTAATTCTTTAGCTGTGAGCCCTATTATGCCTCTGCCTTCTATCATTTTTCACAGTCTGTGAGAAGAGAGAGGGTACCCTTTGTAGACGTGGGGAAAGCTAAGGTCAATCCACTAAAAAGCATATTAAGGAAATTTGCCTGAACAAATAATCTCATAATCATGATTTGTATCAACAAATTGTGGCTGAACTTGTATTAAGTGTTTGACAGGAGCTGCGTTGGTGTTTTCTGTTTGTTCTCAAATGTTGGGCTTAGAGCATTCCTTGACAACTAGGTAAAATAAACATGAACCAAGGGAAGCCTCAGGTTCACCTAACTATCCAGTCAATCCAATTCCCATTTTCCTAATTTGCTAATCTTTCCCATCTTTGAAGACCTGAGAAATGTCTTCAAAAAGACATAGTTACATGAGGAATACAAATTTTTCATTATTAGATTTGGATTTTCAGAGTTTAATGTAAGCCAAGTCTTAACAAAAGATAGGGTTTAAGGACCTTACAGTGGCATATACCTGTAATCCCAGCTACCCAGAAGGCTGAGGCAGAAGTATCACAAGGCCAGCTTGGGCAGCATGGTGAGACCCTGTGTCCAAAAAAAAAAGAAAAAACCAAAATAGACTTTGAGGTTAACCATATAATGTCATTGGTCCCATTTATTTGAATTTTATTTTCACTCATAAATTCTTATTGATCTTCAGGTAATGGATAACTTCTTAATACAAGTGACAGGGAAAAAGCGTGTTACACTGTTCAGCCCTCGAGATGCCCAATATTTGTATTTATCAGGTATGGTTTTAAATTTATGTTTCTAAAAGGTCTATTCAGTTATTCCATGTACCCTATATTTAAGTAACATAGGATAAATACTTCTTCCTAATTATATATTGTATTCTCCATTGTAAATGTGTAATAACGATAGGCAGTGTGAAAAATGAGAGCTTTCAGATTATCTGACTATGCTACGTGGATGTCAGTCATTTCATTTAAAGAGTGGATCATTGAAAACTATCTTAGGTTTCAGGGAAAAAGTTCTCAAGAGTGAATATAGTAACAGCAGCAAAGAATTTCTAGTCTACATTTGTTAACTTATTATTATTTTTTTAATGCTGTTGGTTCAATTATATCATCTCTTTTGGGAACTTTTCAGGTTCTAAATCAGAAGTGCTGAATATAGACAGCCCAGACTTGGATAAATATCCACTCTTTTCCAAAGCAAGAAGGTATGAATGTTTCCTTGAAGCTGGTGATGTATTATTCATTCCTGGTAAGATTTCTGGACCACAGAAATGTATTTTCTGTATTTTTGTATGTTGAGATATATAAAGTATCTTCCATTGTGCTCCAGTTGCCTATTGTCTTCAGTACAGAACAAGTTTATACCCTCGTGGCAATAGGCTGTACCACAGGCTAGGTGTATAGTAGGCCATGCCACCTGTGTTATTCACAAGGATGAAGATACTGATGTATTCTCAGAGTGTATTCCTGTCATAAAGCAGTACATAACTGATTGATACTATATTTTGAGTTGTTATACTAAATAACATCAAATAATATACTTTATATCTGGGCAAAGATTATACTTGGTTGTTTTTTTAAAAATCATTTCATTTCTAAAATATGTAGGCATTTTAAAAATGGTAAATATTTTCCAAGCAGATTATAGATTTTGTTAACTATCAAATATTATAATAGCACCCAAAACATTTTTCTGTGCCTAATTTTTCTATATACAAATTCTATATTCAGTTAGTGAACATTAGTTTGAATGCCCATAACATTTCTGTTATCAGTAACAATAGTGATATAGTTAATATCTGCAGTTAATA